CACCCACAGCTGATATTCTAATCGACCAAAATGTCCTCGCCTCGAAAAAGAAAGGGAAAATAGGTACCCCGGGGGCAGTGGACGAGCACGTATCGAGACACATATCGTCGGAGACGATAAAGACCGAGGCTGGATAGCGCTAAGAACGATTTCATCGGTTCCTCGCCACAAGGGTCAAGTGTACGAGAGAGTGGGAGAGAGAAGGAAGGTGGTCCGGTGAAAAGAGAAAGAGAAAGAGAAAGAGTGTCCGTGTATGTGTGCGGAAAAGAAAGAACGAAAGAGAAGTTTGTACGCGCGCGTGTGCCTTGTGGTCACCCGTGGGGCTTCCATTCACCCGGTGGCTCGACTCGCCCACTCATTCCTTCATTCATACACGCTGCACGCGATTTGAATCGATAAGCAAACCACACGGAAGCGAATCTTTCCTATTGGAGTGCACGCCGCCGCGCCGACCGCGTCCGTCGTCCAAATTCTCTTCCTTTCGTCCGTCGTTTCGCTCGGACGTTTCACGCTTCGGGGTTCTCGACAGGATAGGTCGAGATTTGACGCAAGAAAGAGCACTTGGGAAATTGGATGAATGGTAATAATGGTCTTTCGATCGCGATTCGACGTCTACTTAGCGGTGCAAGTAGAAACAGAGAGGAATGAACAGACAGACGCGTTACGATAGAACAGAGTTTCTAAACCTACGATCCGCGTAATGATATTTTCTGGAAAGTCCTCGAGTTCGAGTTGGTTTCCGCAAAGCTGCGATCGTTCAAGGGGGGAGGACGCGCAAGGATCAGAAGCGACTGGAGGAGAAGAAGAAGGGCAGAAGAAAGACGGTCGTCTATCGAGGAGGCCAGAGACTGACGGGGAAAAGACGAGGATGCCTTGGTCGGGTACGGGTGGAGGCGGAGGAGTCGAAGGTGGAGGTGGAGGTGGAGGTGGAGGCGAAGGTGGTAGGGTGAAAGGGTGTGCGAGGGGGGCCACGACCGGTCGGCTGGACAGACGCATGGACGGACGGGATGGAAAGACAGACAGGACTGGAGACCGCTCATTACGGGCGGCGCATGCGCGAGGAATGCGGCGGCTCTGGTCTCCTCGATACAATAAATATAGGATCGGATCGGATCGGATCGGCTGGCCGGGCCCGACGGAGACGGAGAGACCGTCGGGCCCCGAACGGGGGACGAGGACGGCCGGAGAAGGCGCAGCGTTGCGGAGTCGCGACGAGGAGGGGGTCCCAACGCTCGGGCGGAAAGTAAGGATGAATCGATGAACGAATCGGCGGACAACAATGCCGAGCGTAGTAACGACATCCAGTTAAATCGAACGCCAGCAAAAAAATACGCGGTTGTTTAAGAGACGGCTAACCCGGCCGGTATGCGTATTCCTGTTTGCGGACTCGAATCCGTACGATCCGAAGCTTCCGGCAAAGAATCGATCGCGTCGCGCTCCGCGAGCCTCTGTTATTACGTCGATGTATCGAGCGACCGTTTCGGTACGCGACCGATTTCTGCCACGGTCCGCTCTTAACTAGCATAAATCACCGCGGCGATTAGTTCTGCCGATCGGAGCAGTTTCGAAACTTTGGTGGGGCGGTTGTCGGTTCGCGCGATTCGGGTTCGAGGACCGGATGACTGGATTTTATACAATGTTTCATGCTTTTTATTTTTTATTCCAACACCTTCTAGCAGAAGAAGCAACTTTATTCTCATGGACGTCGTTTTGAAAGTTGAGAGGGTTTGTTGGATCGCATGATTCGGGTTCGAGGACCGGATGACAGGAGAGAGTTAGATTTAACTGGATTTTATACAATGTCTCATGCTTTTTATTTTTCATTCTGGCACATTCTAGCAGAACAGGTATTTCAACGCTGGACAATGGGTGCTGAGTAAACTATTTTTGAGTGGTTTGAAAATTTTAAATTTCCGTGAATTTGATAGTGCATAAACCGCATGAATTATAGCATCTAACGAAACTCCTCGTGCAATTGATTACCCAAGAAATTAACATAATGTTAACCTGTTAATTTCCCATCAAGGAAAACGAGGTCTCATTACATTATCACCGATTATCTCTGACCCACATATTCACACTGTTATCGATGATTTAATGGAGGAATTGCTCGTGGATTTTTCTCGAGCTAACCGACTTTGACAAATTTCAATGATAGTTTCGAGTTTCCAAGTGGATAAAGAACGAGAGTGAACTCGTTTACAAAAAAAAAAATGCAACACTTAATCCCAGCGTGGTATTATAAAAATGTCTAACAGCACAGTGAAACGGATTCGCTCGGTAGCCGGCAATAACCGAAATCATTAAGCGATAAACCGACGGTCCAGGCAAAAAAGGATGGCACGGACAAAGCGTAATCCAAACACGTTTTTTATTCATTACCAATAATTTCCTTGAACAACGCCATTAGTCCAGCGGAGAGGAGGGCCCCGCTGGTAAGTTAAAAGATCGCGATGCACTTGAAAGATGGGCACCCGGTTGAAAATTGTAGGGAACGGACGCGGCCGATGTATTCGCGATATAAACGCTGATCAATCAGCCTGGCCGAACATTTAATCGATAGTTCAATAATTATTAACCTGCTTCGGGAACGGGCCTCCGCAGATTGCCCGCTTTACGAATTCCCCCGTCCTTAATAGTTTTGTTTCACCACTTATAAATCACCCGTCTCTAACGATCTCTTTGAAAACAACAGCTCATTAACGATGCGTATAAATTATTTCGACTTTCTCGGGACGAGGGGAAGAAAATTCGCAGCGTTTAAAAATATATGTATATTTAAATAATCGATCGACGTTTAATTCCCTCCTGGATTCCGCCGATAAAGTATCAATATTCATTTACCACGCGACGTAAACTGAGAGGACCACAGGATGATCGAACATTCTTGTCACTGTATTCATTTTCGTGACGTTAATAAATCATCGATAAGATTATACCGTATTAGGGTTACTCGACTATTTCCTACGCTTCTAATAAGATGATGTGTTTTATCATTTCGTGAATAATTGCATAAAATATTCGACACCTATAGAGCGTATAAACGTCAACGACAGATTATCCTTGCGTTTTTAATGTCCATGTATATTCGAATCGTGCAATCAAAGTGCTACAATAAAGATATTAAAGATGGACGATCGTGGAACACGATTTACTTCAATGAACGAATTATAAAAAGGCGATGCCAATGAATCACGGGAACAGGCGAATAAAATATGCGCGAGCAACGACGGTGTGTAATATGCGAAGCCATTCTTTTCACGATGGAATCTCGCGGGCCAATTACACAGCTCTTTGCCACCGAGATTCACCGACGTTTCATAAGCGAGCAAGACGATCGAGAGATATGACACACGGGGTACTGATAACGCGCCAGTTATTCATTACCGTGGTTCGGATATTCGCAATTAGCGTCGGATCAGTTTTGGTTAATTACCTCCACTCGATCGATGTCGTTAATTACCCCCCAATCCGTACATCGAGAAAAAATGAAATATAATTCGTTTTGACCTACCTATCGTTGGTTTCTCATTTCTATTTCATCGAACATATTATATCGAAACCTAAAATCTCATATGTATTCTCGAAATGATCTATAGAAATTATACATCAAGCTTTCGACACATTTTAACCACGATTGTAACGATTAAACATTTGCTGGGAGAGACCTTGTAAATTAATATTTCCTACTCCACGTCAGTTCGTCCATAAGTCTGATCGAACAATTTAGATAGCGTCGTTGATTTTTTTGGTGCTCGGTTGTTCCAAATACGGCGTCGTCGATCTCTAAATTGTCGAGCACCGAAGCAAACGGCCATACAGTTATTTAGAATAGAAAGAAGTGGAACCGAAGCAGCGGATAGGCAGAGCAGAGAGAAAGTATTCCGCGAATAACAAAAAACCGGCATCGACATGTCGCTCGAAAGAAGTGTCGCTAATTTGATGTAGCCGGTGTATACGGCGGATCGTATGGCCGGAGTGGTTTGGTCACTCGCGAGTTGATTTATACCGGTGGGCAAGAACCTCGTGGCAAAGCTCGTTGCCTTGCTCATTGCTTCTGCGACCGCTCCGCTCTGTACTCACTTTGAACAATGGAATTGCGTCGCGACGTCAATCTCTCTGTATTATTCACCTCGATCCCGTGCTCCTTTATATCCCTAGCTGTTCCCCTTTTCTGCTTCCTTTTCTGCCTTTCTTTTTGCACCTCGACTTCGCGTCTCTCTTTCTCTCCCCCTCTCTCGTCTCTCTCTCTTCCAACTTCCCCCCTGCCTCGTCGAGTCCCGCGAACGGGAATAAATCGAAAGTCGAACCGATGGTTTAAAACGGCGTTAAAACCTTCTTCCGCGGCTCCTTTACTTCGACGACCAACACCTTCCACGCGCGCGCCTTCCGTTTACCGGTGATCCTAATTTCACGGGTATCAGTTCGAGGCTGGAAATTCGTGGATCGATATTTTTTTTCTCATCGTGATCGAAACGAATTCTTTATGTTTCTTTTTTTCTTTCTTTTTGCGTTGATCTACGCGCGATCGAGATGGAAGAAGAGAAACGGTCGATCAATTAACCCTTTGTCGTCGCAGCGCGCACGATCAGGAGGATATCTAACATCGTTACGTAACTGTTTCTTTTCGTTTTGGTGCTTGAGAACAGGCTACGAAAGTAGATCTTGAAATCACATCCTTGGAATTTGTAACGTTACAAGCTAATTGTGTAAGAATATATACTCTTGATGGTATTTGACTCGCGTTATTTCGCCACTGGGTGTATCGAATCAAAAAATTACAAGAATGTAATTCACTTCGAACATACTTTAGTCGCACACGAAATTTGAATTTATTATTATAATTTATACTCCGGTAAGAACTGTGCAATTAATTTCCAAGTTATCCTGATTTGTATATATGGGAAAGTTTGTTCCAACGTGTAAGTCTCGTTTCTGATTTAATTGCACTGTGTTCTTTGTTACGAAATAAATTAGGAGAATTGTGTCGATCTTCTTACCTATCTGTCCAACAGAGAGCGTCATCTCGGTACCTGAAACAATCAGAAAAGCTTAGATTAGAATTCGTTGAACGGAGTAGAAGTTCCCTGGCGTTAATAGTTCTACCGAACAGCTAATTATAATCTTAAATACCAATCTCCATCTTGGTCGTGTAATTAGTCTACCAGTTATCGCCTAATAGGCAAGCCGGTTCGATAGAAAATGTCAAGCATGAAGGAAATTGTAAGACAATTGCCATGGAAACCTTTCACGTGACTTCTAAATGTCAAAATACCATAGGGTTCAAACTCAGCCTTATAATAAATCAGTAATTCAGAGATCTGACAAGTGTTTTAACGTACTACAACAAATTTCGAGAATTCGTTATATTTAACTCGTGTTATCCCTCCGGTGAAAGTATTAAATCACCTCTGCTAATAAAAAATCGAATAATAATTCTGTTAGTTTCCCCCATTTTGGGTACCTTCCCTTTCCCTAAATATCAGTTAAGTTGTGAAACGTTCGTTCCTCCGCAGACGATGTTAATTCGTTACGTCTCGTGATCCTAGCGCGGTTCTCCTCGTGCCAAGCTCGAGATCTAAGGACGTATCGCAGCTTACAGGAAAAAGCTTTTATATGAAAGCCTAGCTGTGAATAAGATCGCCGTCGTAAATTGTGCGCGAGGCTAATCTCACGGTTGAACGCGGCCATAGACTTCAGTTCGTTTGACTTCGTCCCGCGCGAAACCCTCGACGCAAAACGAATTTCCAGACTTTTCACTTCGCGACATCGTCGACCTAATCCTCCCCCCCGAAAAATTAGATCAATTCGATAACCATCGTAGAGTGAATATAAACGTCCACAAGAAGTTGACAAGTGAAAGGAATGTGGGTCTGATCGATCCTTAGATCCCCCGCTCTATTTTAATATCGTCGTCATTGAAATGACAAAAGTGGGGATAGGTGGAGCCAGAAAACTTGGGCCAAAATATGGAACAAAATATCTCTCGAAAGAGTTAAGCGAGAGTCGATGGTACGAAAAACTTTTCCAAAAGATTGTCCACAACCCTAACGAGAAATCGAAGGTCGAAAAGCGTCACGAGAAAGGGGGAACGTAGAGTCGAGGGATCCCTCGAAGCGGGGGAGTGAGATCGCAAGCGGGTGTCGCGGATGAATCAGAAGGTGCGAAGAAAGTGGGGCCTGTCAGCGCGACATGATTTAAAGCTAAATATTACGACAGAAAGCACATTTCTCGACGGTCCTGGACCGTCGAACCCCTCTGTCCGGACTGGAGGTGGGGGGTGGCAGCGACACAAGGGATGAGCCCGTAAGTCGTGCAGATATGTTGGCCACGGTTTATTACCGGGATGCCGGAATGGCCCAGCCTGGAGGAACATTGATTTAATGCGGGAGTAATTGGGCGACCGGACGTCTCTATGAGCAAGCCACCCACCACCGCTAATGTGTTCCCGCCCTTCTAACCTTTCGGTTAACCACCATGCAAGCGAGCACGCTTCCTTTCAGCCCCGCCACCGTTCTCGCCTCTTTCCACCCGCGGGACGTGAGAAAGGCGAACGCTTTATTGCTGGTTTTATTGCCCGGCGAGTTTTAGCCGCAGTTCGGATCGGCTTATGGCGCTTATTAAACTTTGATGTCACCAAATCGCTCCCACCACCCCTGCTCGATCCTACATAGCCGCGGGCGTGCATGCTTAACCGTTTCGAGACGAAGGAACGAGCTCTTCGAAATTGATCAGGTTGTGCAAGGACAATAGTGGGAATTAGGGATCAAACACTTTTTTTAACCCTTAAGTGGACTCTCAATCTCAACTGAATTATTTTATATAAGTCTTCTACCATGAACAGCCAAAAAATTCGGGTTCTTTTTTCATTTTCTTTAAGGCTAGAGTTTTAGAAATATGTGAGCAAAAGCATATCACTGAACTCCTAAAATCGACGAAGGTGTTTCTATTTCTCGTTGTAAAAATTGTGAATATTACTGAAAGAGTAATAAATATACATTATATAAACTTTCAAATGATTACATTGATATATGTTAAACAATTATTAGTTCAAACTTATGAAGGGCCACAATAATCCACTTAAGGGTTAAATTGGTGGAGAAGAAGAAGCTTCGAGAAGGTGTTTACGAAACTATTTTCTTCCTTTCTAGATCCACTACTATTGGTAAATTTTGTTGCAGTTTGCTTATAATAATTATCGACTAAGAGTAGCACTATATTTAGGTCCATTGGTACTATTAAGATTCAGAATAAATTTAATGGGGAAAATTTTCTGTTACTCTGAATATTTTTCTAATCAGCGTGACCATTTGCAACGTTCGAATGTAACGCCAACAAAGTTGCATCTTTCATTCGAGACCCATTAAGAATGCAAACGGTATTATTTCTTGCAGAAAATTTGCGCTGATGATCCGCATCGCGTGCAGGAAATTGAAGGTTGCGCGTTGATTTGCGTGAGATATCGATGATGAAGTCTTCCAGCTACTCAAATTTTATTAGCCACCAGCTCTGTAATCGGCCGCGAAAGGAATGCAAATCATTTCACCCGAAATAGACGGTTGCAATTTATTTTCTCCGCCACTCGTAACACGAATTAACCACTTGGGATGATGTCCAAAAATTAGCATGTATTTAATCCTTCTTCGAACCAAAATTCTCCCATTTTAAGCTTACACGGTATCCTCATATATCACTGAACTTTGTAACTCAATCTCAATTATTTTGCTCCAAAAAATTTAATAACGAAACGAATATCAAAATTGGCGAATCTTACTTTCAGAAGTACACATTTTCTTTACGTAAAAATTATAGTATCACTCGCGAATGCAATATAATACCGATTCGATGGGCACGATTCCATTCCAACAGAGCCATTACTAACTGAAATATTTAACAACCTGAGAAATTTGAGGCGAGGGGCTCGCGAAACGCTTTGGAAATTGCTACTTCGGGGGTCCAAGAGGAAGATCGTCGCCACGTGTCGATGAGACGAAACAGATCGAAAGACGAGGTTTGCGAAGGCGTACCGCGAACGTGCCCTACAAGCAGTCATAATACGTGGACGGAGGGGGGGCAGGTTTGCATCCACACATGGCGCGATCAGGCTGGCAACGGAACGGTGTAAAGTTTAACTTTGGCTACACCGGCTGCGCGGAATGTCTGTCCCGAGGACTCGGCTGCTTTCTGATCGGTCCCGAGGACACGGGAGGAACGATTTTGGGGATGAGGTCGCGGGGGGTGGCTCACGGTTCAAACGCAGAAACGGCCGTTTCGTCGGAACGAGGGGGACACTGATATCGCGCGACGTAATAACTAACCGATGTGTCGCCGTAATAACAATTGCCGCAACATTGTCCCTTTCCCGACTTTAAAGGAAAAATCAACCGTTTCTCGATTCGACGCGAACTTTCCCGATTTAACGATATTCGAGACGTACGACTTAACTTAAAATAATTTATCAAAGGTACACTATTTAATCCATTAATGGTCACGAGAAAGAATTTGTTTTACTAGTACCTCGTGAATGTAAAAATGTGTTGATTATAATATACAAGACTCGATGTCTTGTCTGCGTTCATTCTGTTTAAATTTGATTGTGCAATCATTACTGTGCACTGAAATTTGACATCAGGGATCGTTATCGATGCATCGCTGTATTTATCTCTTATATTCGGTTATAATCGAACTTTGTAGAAACTTTGGAAAATAATCGTGTCGAAAGCTCCCTTGAGCCAGGTTTGCAAGCGGCTCGTTAAAGATCACAGCTGAAATATCGCGGTACCGTGTTCGGTTATATCTGAGCCCGGGGTTCTGGTTACGTGTCCTCGGGGCTGTCGTCGGGAAAAAAGTTTGAGTCCCTCGCAAGACAGCGTCCTGGCGGTCAGTGATCCTGGCTCGGTCGTGGCCGTTTCGTTCGCGAAGGGGGCACACGGGTGTACTTATATTCAGCACCGGGCGCACGGTCCCGGCGTTCCACAGTTCCATGGGTCGCGGGGAAGCATAGCTGGCGCATTATCACATACGTTAAGTTTTTCTGGCTCTATTGGCCCCAGAGCGTGGTCCACGAAAAACGACTGATTAATCGAACCAACACGGCGAACATTCTTGCCGGGCCGTACGGCTACGCGAACCAGCCTGGTTCGGACACCACACCCTGCCCGGCTCCTACATTCGCGCGGATGTCGGGAGAAGAGACACGAGCGGGGCGCAGAAAAACGCCACCAATACCATCGGGGGTTCGGCCAGTTCCGCCCGATCTCTTCGGACGAAAACCGGAATGCGTTTCTTAGGGACCACGGGGGTATCTTTCGAACTTACAATTAACGCGGTACAATACCATGCGCGTTGCGTGCCCCGAAAAAAAACTCGCGACGGATGGACGGGGGACGCTTGGGACGAGACTCGAAGTAGGTACATCGCTTGCACTGGCTCGAGATTATTGCGATTAGCGAGAACTCGCGACGTTGGAGGGGTCGGGACACTCAAATACATTTCTCTGAGCAAATGGCTAAATTCGTAAAAATTAAGGCGTGAAATTTGCACAAAGGGTTCGTCGAAACGAATAAATAAACGGAGTTTTTCAACTTGGAAATTTGACTCGTTTTGCAACAGAATATTTTAACGCGATAAAAAAAAATCTGATATGACGTTGCATCTGTAACTTGCAATCTTTAGTGGAAATATCACCTAATTTGTATCTTCTACTCCGTGCCTGGAGCACGTTTCAACGAATCTCGATAACGATCGACGAAAAACACCGTTTGCTCTTAATCCAACGCTGCAAAATCGTCCGATTCCACGGTGAGTTTTCCACGCGTACAGATTTATTCGTCGAAGTTCTCGATCGCCTGTCGAAAAACGCTCCTCCCCCCCTCCTCCCGGCGAGTGATTAGTCTTTTTACGTTAACTCGGTTAAGATTACGCTTGGCTGGCCACGAATAAAAAGCTCCTTGTCGTGCTCGAGCACCGATCCCGGACTTTTCAGGCAAGAAACCGCCAGGATTGACACGCGTTATGACATTCTAGGCCCGTT